CAGCAGGGCCTGGGGACTTCCAGCAGATCTGAGCCTGGATCCCTGTGTCCCCCAGTCTGTCCCCTCCTTGCCAGGCTCCCAGATTCAGTGACTCTGTGTAGCACAGCTCAGCTGGAGTCAGTGATCCTGGAAAGGCTATTTCAGGATCACACAGGTCAGAAAAGTGAGCCTTGAAGGGACACAGATTACCTGCTCTACTGGATTTGGGGTTGCTCAGGAACCCTGATACCTCCTGCTGCTTGTTCTGTAAGCAAACAGGACTTTTCTGAGCAGCTTTACCAAAACCTTTCTGTACCTCACAGGGGCTTTGCAGGGTTTCCTGAAACACCATTTTATTTATTTCCTCTCAGCTTTTCTCTGAAAAGGTGTCAGAGTGAGACCTGGCACCTGATATGCCAGATCTGAGAGCCAAGACAAACTGTCTTTGGGCACATAACATCAATCCCCTGCTCTGCTCCTCTGGCAGTTCCCCCCTTCAAAGCTTAGACTGGCACTGATGCACAGATCTCCTTTTAATCTACTTGTAGCCACTGTGGCAACAGCACAGGAACAGCCTTTGGATGAGCAAATTGGCACATGCAAAGAGCTGGAAGAGCTTTGGTAATTCCTGGTGTAGCATCACCAGGACTTGAACTAATAACATGTATCCTGTAAAGACTTGGAGCACCTGGTCCTCAGCTTGTGTGGCTGGGGATTTTGATTTTTTGGTGAATTTTTACTCCACTCATTTCTCCTCCCAAGACAAAAACCAACAGCAACTGAGAGAGTGGGTGATTCAAGCAGGGGAAGAGGAACTGATTCCAGATGTGGTTTTCAGATAGACACACCTAAACTAATCTCTTGCCATACAGGGTGTGATATTGCTTCATCTGGAAACACTTGACCCTGTTTTGCCTTTTTGGTTAAGAGCACACTGTTCCCCTTTGGCTGCTGAAAGCTTCCTAGCAGTGTGACTCAAGTCCCACAGGAGCTGGATGTAGGGCTAGGAGAGGTTCTCCAGGACCTTCTCCTCACATTTCACTCAGTACAAGACCACGAAAAGAAAATAATTCATAGGGCTGGAGTGACCTGATGATTTAAGTGTATCAGATAGAAATTAGGTACCTTGAAGCTCAGCCAACATCTCAGTCAGGCCTGGGAAGCTGCTCCCTGTGAGCAGGGGGTGGATGGCTGGGAGCTGACTCATCATGAGTGCACGGTGACATCCAGTGGCAGGGGACACTGCCCGTGGCTCTGCTGACCAGGACCAAGGTCTGCCATGCTCCTGGGCTTCAGAAAGCAGAGCCAAAGCAGTTCTCCCCATCCCATAGGTGCCCTGGCTGCCATGGTGAGGCCACAGGTGACCGAGGAGACGTTCTTAAGAGATTTTCCTCTCTTTCAGATTTTCTTCAACGACCCGGCACAGGAGCCGGCTGAGGACGTGTTCCTCACCGAGCTGTGCACCCAGGGGCAGGACAGCATCTCCCACAGAGGTGTGTGTGTGTCCCACCAAGCCGAGCCCTGCAGCAGGGGCTGCCACCCCGGGCAGGGGTCCTGCCATCCCCAGACCCCACTCACCCCGTCCCTCAGCCCACAGCAGCCAAAGCCATGTTATGGGACAAGCAGGAGGCTTCCCTAAACACCTCCATCTCCCTCTCAGGCTAAATGAGAGACCTTGTGGTCACTTGGCTCCTGGTCTCAACCAGCTTTTGTAGACTGTGCCTTGGTTGGCTCCAGGACCCTGTGGAGTTGGATCAGCACCCTAGTTTTGTTGAGGAAATAAGCTGGGCTTTACAGCCATCCCCTTTGCCAGGTGTTTTCCCTGTTAGAAATCCAGCTTCCTCGAGGTGCCAGTTATGGAACAAGAGTGCTTGAAGGCTGGGCCATTACAGAAGGCACATCCAGCCCTTCCATCAGTGCACTGTGGTGTCCAGTCCAATGGATGTTTGTCACTGAGGTTGGGCACAGACCCTCGAGTGAGCCCATCTCACTGGAGGTGCTGAGTACACAGAACCTCAGCCCCCACAGGCAAGGAGAGAAAGCCTGATGTGCCAGACCACTCTGTGATGGAGGGGGTGGCTCATCCCATGGGAGGACTCCCCTCTGCTCACCACAGACAGGTGGCATGAGTGAAACCTCAATCCCACTCGGTTCCCTTCTTGCAGAGTTAAGCATGACCAAGAAGAAAACAACCCTGGATGGCCCTGGCATAGATCTCACAGTAACATACAGAAAGGTAAGCAGAGCTCTCAGCAGCCCAAAATGTCTCTGCTCACAGGGATACCCAACATGGCACAGATCTCCTAAAAGGAGGACTCTGGCCCTCCTTCTTTCCTCTGGAATTGCTCTTCAGGAGAGGACAGAGAGGTTGTGGTGAGCTTTAAAAGCCTGGTAGCTAACCCTGTGTTTGTGAAAACCTGCCCCAGACCTCTCCATGTCCAACCTCCCTACCAGGAGGAACTAACAGAGCTTTGCCTGCAGTTTGTGGTGAGTGACCGGGAGAAGGAGCTGGACATGTCCCTGCGCTCCACAGGTCTGGTGATGAAAGCCATCCCTTCTCAGGAGGCTGAAGGTGGGTTCTTCCTGCTTGGAACCACGTGAGGAGGGTTTGCTGAGTTTTCAAGTGCTCAACAGAGTAAATCTGAGCACAATCCTTAGTGCCAGTTGTGCCTGGGCTGTGGGGTTGAATCAGTGATGGGCATATATTGGTGTCACCACAGTCTGGTGGTGTGTTTTCTCATGAATGATGCGTCTGAGGCTCAGACATGATCTAAGCTTGGCGGCATCTTCCTTTTGCTCCAGCCTTCCTCTTTCACCTTGCCCTGTGAGCTTCCCACCCTGAGCATGATCCTACATGAATCCCTAGCCCATGGAGCTTGCCAGAGTCCTCCTTTTCTGCTGTCCTATGTATCCCACAGGCAGTGCACCCAAATGTGGGGTATGGCACCAGCCCTACTGCAAGCTGAGCTGAGATCCTGCCATGGCCTGAGATTAACATGCTGCTTCTGTTGCAGACCTGATGTGTCTGAACGTGACCATCACTGAAATCATCAGGACCAGCAACTTGTCAGGACGGTCGTTCTCAGTAAGTACCTGTGGGATCCTCACGGCCCTGGAGGGCTTGGTCACTGCCTGGAAATCCCTTGCAACAGCAGTGAAAGGGCCAAAGCCCCTGCTGGTCAATGCAACGTGGAATCCTGTCACAGGAGACCCTGAATAACTGAGCTGTGTCCACAGGACAAAGCAGAGAAATAAAGCTTAGCCCCGGTCCTCGTGGCTCCACTTGGGTGCAGGAGAGGGTCTGTAGTTTTGCTACCAACTCCATTTACTCCACACCTTCAGCTGCAGACCCTGCATGTTATTCCCCGCAGAAATCCCAAAAAATAATTTAACAAAGCACAAACGTGAAGAAGGAAATTCAGTTAATCTATTTATCAGCTCAGAAAGGTGGAGAGGTAAGAGAAGGGACTGAAATCTTTGGCTTCTGTCCTTTTTGTTTTGCATGAGAGTTCAGGTAGGCTCCAGAGGCCACGCTGCCTCACGGGAACCTGTCCCTGCAGTTTGGTGGCATTAAGTGTTGGTGTTCCTTGGTCATTCAGGCCCTGGAGTCTCCAGTCTCTCAGTTGGTGTTTTTAAGTAGCCAGCACAGTTTTGCTTATTTTCACCTGGCTTTTGGGAACACCAAGGTGCTGCAACCCACACTGCCCACAAAGATACCCCACAGCCGTGGAGAACAGGCCATGCCCCACACCAGACATCCCAAACCTTGTAGCCTGTGCAAGCATTGCCAGTTTGGAAAGCCTGCCCTTACAAAACTTGACCAGGTTGTGATTACAGGAGAAGGATTTGCCTTGTGTCACATCTGAGGTTAAAAAATAAAAAACAGAGGAATGTCCTCATCTGTCCCTTTCACACCCAGCACACACACACACCACCCACCACCACACAGCCAAGGGAGGGGAGGGACACACTCACTGGGCTCCTCCTCCTCTCTCCATCCAGGCTGTGGCAAACAGGTTGAAAACACGAAATATCACAGTCAGGAGCACAGAGCAGAGACCCTTCACGGTGCGTCTGGACAAGGACAGCAGAAGAACCTACAGGAACGTGATCAGGTGAGAGTGCCACATGTGCCAGGCTCTGCCCATCTCCCTGGAAGGGCTGTTTCCCAGGGAGTCCTAGTCCTCATCCTCATGCAGGACAAAAGAATGCAGGGAATGCAGGGCAGAGGGGTGCTTTGTGTTTTTGGGTAGTGGTGTGAGAAACAAAATGGTTTTTCATTGTACATAAGGTGCTGTCATTAAGACAGTAGAAGAATAGGTACTTCCAGGGGCAAACAGATCCTGGATCTCCTGAATTATCTCCTGAGGCTGATGCTCTCTCCACTGACTGTACCTCTCACCAGGGAGTAGAGGGGTAGAGAATCCAGCCCTGTGAAAGTAGCAGGGATTAATGTGCCTGTAGAAGTGACATATGATGTGTTGGAAACAAGCAGGTAGTTCAGGGTCTGTGGGCCTCATGTAACACTCATAAACTGAATTCCTGAGAATCAGGCTGGGCCAGGCAATGGACACTGGTGGTGTGGTCAAACTGACACACATCAGCTCATCTTTCCAGCCAAACACAGTTGCAAAAAAGCATAAAAGCAGCTGCACATTTCAGTGTGACCATCCTCCCTCAGCAGTCAGTGCAGAGACCTGGTGTTTGGTCTGAGACGAGGCTCTGGCCCTCAAGGGCAGATCTGTACATGCAGCAAATGTGTTCTTGTGTTCTTGCAGCCTGGAAGTGTCTCCTTGCCTAGAGCCCAGCTACTGCTTGCAGAAGACAAGGACCATGAAATTCAGCCTTCACGAAACAGAAGATGTGGGGCTTGTGAAATACATGCCCAAGTCTCTGCTCCTGCCTATCAACACGTTTGCAGGCGTCACACAGTGAAGAAAAAGAGAGAAAGCTGGTGTGGGAGATGTGACATTGGGTCATCACAGAGGACATGGAAAAAGAAAACACACTAAAAGGCACCAATGGCGATTTTACAATGGTAATGGTGTGAAAAGCTGCGAGAGCAGGGGTGGATAGGGCTCGGGGTGACAGCCATGCCCTGCTGGGTGACAGTGTGACCACAAATAACAGCCCCCTGCCAAGGGGCAGAGTCTTGCTGCAGAACTGAGTTTTAACCTTTTGCACAAGTCAGGGGAAACCTCTGAGCTTCTTCATTTCAGGAAGACTGGGTGGAAAACCTGGCTGTGGTGTTGGTGCTCGCTGTGCTGTGCATCCCAGGGCAGTTGCTGGCAGTAATATTTATTGTGGTGATGTCTCACAGCCCAGCTCGGGATCGGGGCCCAACTGCCGGGTTCTGCACAGCAAACCCTTCATTCTGGCACAGGGTGATGTATTTGGGCAAACCAGCAATTACTCCCCTGCCTGATTTAGGAAAGCCTGGCCACAGTGTGTGTTCAATGAGGCTTCTCTGGAAGTCAGTGGAAAACTTGCTGTTGTTTCAAAGGGCTACATGGGATAACAATGAATGGCGTGAAACAGGGACATGGAAATCTGGTGCAATATTTGACAGTGAGGAACAAGTCAAGAACTGCTTGTGCTGCCCAGGAAGTGCTGTGGGATATGCTTGGCTCTGCTGGAAGCAGAGACCTTCGCTGAGCAGATATGGAGGCTGCACAGCAGCTCTTGGACATCTGAGCTGCACCTTGGAGTCCACCTGGGATTTCTCTGTGGTTTCACTGTACACCCTTTCTGCATCTTGTCTGGAACCTCATGAGTGCTGAGTGCATTCCTCCAGTTGTACATCCTGGGAACAACCTCCTACGGTCCCAGCAGGACTGGACCTCTCCCATGAGGTCAACCAGCAATGTCTCAGTGTCCCAGCCTGCCTTGCAGTCCTGGTTTGGTCTGTGCCTGCTGTGTTGTGCAGAGGAGTGCTCCTGGGATTGATGGATGGGCAGGATGCCTGAAAGACTTCTTTGTTCCTTTCTCCTGCTGCTCCCATGGTGTAGAAACCCTCCCCTGGTTTTCAGCTGGGCTGGGCTGAGCAGTGACAGCACAGCTCCTGCTTCCTTGTGGAGTGAGTCAGAGTGACCAGGAGTCAGAGTGACCCAGTGTTCAGGATGATCCTGGAGGAGGACCTTGTCTTCATTCCAGTTTTTGGCTGAGGGAAATAATGGATGAAATACCATGTGTTGTTATTGACTTTCTGAATGTGATCTGTGGTTTCTGGAGTCCAGGGAGTCCCCCATAAATTCACACTGGAGGAATTTCAGGGCATTCCTTCTATGACACTATCATTTCTTTGTTCTCTTGGCTCCCAAAAAGTCATTACCTGGGCTGCCTTCACTCAGGGGTGCTTGCTTGGATCACCAGCCCAAAGAAAGTGTCCTTTAGCTTTGTAGGTGTACATAGCAGCTCTCCCCAGTCATCTCTGGCTGACACTGCTGGGGAATCCCTGGAGCCAGCTCTGTGCTCCAGGGTAATGCCAACCAGCTGCAGTGACACTGGCAAATCCTTATTTAGCCCCAACAAATGGGAGAAATCCACCCCTCTGGCCTGTCTGTGCCAGGTCTGCCCAGCCCTGGGGAGCTGCACCTCTGGAAAGTCACTTCTGCTTAACCACCCACACCTGGAACAAGGAGCCCACCTCCAGATATCCCAGTCTGGGGGACTGGAGAGGAGTTTCCCTTCAGCAGAACTGCTCTCAGCTTGTGGGTTGTCTTGGCTGGTTAGGTCTCATGGAAATCTTACCTCTATTTCTTACCACATGCATCAGGGTTTAGGGGTTCAACCTCCCTGGTCCCTCTCTGTGCCAGCAAGCACAGGGCAGCTGTGTTCCCTCTCCTGTCGCCTGGCACAGCAGGCATTGCCCCTTCCTGTTCCCAAGCTAAAGGTTGATTTGCTCTCACTTTGAGTATGTCACGCCACCCAAAACAATTGCTGAAACACACTCCTGGGGGCTCAGCAGCTCCAGAGCTCTCAGCAGGTGACAGGTTATTTAGCAGTGTAAAAAGCCACCAGGGCCCAAGAAATATTTAATCCTGAACCTGCACAGTTGGAAGATCATACTGGGCAGCAGCAGCATGACCATTTCCAAAGGAAGATACCTTGGAATGCTGGCAGATGTAGCCCCTTGCTCCTGGCAGAGCCAAGCACAGTCCTCAAGCCTTAATGTCCCCCACAGGAGTGACAAGGCTGCAAGGTCTCAGCCACAGCATCTGGTCCTTCAGTACTGTTTTTCACCTCATAAATCCAAAATTGTTGAGGCTCACCTGTGCCAGTCTTAGGCAGGAAACATTCTGGTCCTGAAGGAAGCTGAAAGTAGACAGGAGGCTCACAAACAAGTCAGGAACAGCCTGCTTGCACCAGCTGTTCTCCTGTGTGAGCTGGGATAATATGGGGTTTAAGGAGTGACCAGTGGCTCTGCACACATCTTTGGGGCTTCACTGGGGGGTTTGTACACCCCAGCACACAAGGGAAATGCTTAAAAAGCCACGAGACTGTGAGCTGGGTTGGAGTGTGGTCTGTGGCATCCAGAGTTTACTCTGTACATTTGTAAATGATGTAGATGGAGTATAAATTATTTGTATATATATGAATGATCTGTATCAGAAGGTGAAATCCTTTTAATGCCAGTTAAAAGAAATTAGGTAAAAAAAAACATCAGAAACTATCCATTTGGTTGTGGTTTTATGTTTCCCTGTGCCTGGGGTGGGTGGGGAATGAGCTGGCAGGACCAGAAAGTCACCAGTGTCCTTTGGCCCTCTTGGCCAGTGTCTCCTCCCCACCTTGGGGCTCCAGGTTGTGTTACACAGAGAGAGACTTCATGGCCAAAGAGGTCATTTGTGAAGGGATGGGCAAAAATGGCTGAATTGCAGAAATTTGGAAGCAGTGCTCTGTGGCTTTATAACCCCCATATTGGCTACCCCTGGACCCCCCTCTGTGCTGAAACACTCTGTCTCCACAGCCTGTTCCCCTCACAGTCTGCCACTTCAAAGCAACCCATTCCCTTAGTTGGGCTTGTCACCTGAGGGTGGGAAAGGGGTGAACCACTGGAAATGAGTGAACCACTGGCTTTCTGCAAGGATCCCCTAAATCCCACTAACCTTACTGACCACAGGAACTGCTCATCAGTTGAGCAGAAACAGCTCACAAACTTGTGCTAATGAATTAGCACAGTTGTGAGAAGAATTTCATAGGTTATTTCATTTACTCCTGGAAACTGCAGGCAGCAAATGCAGATCCCAGAGCAGCCATAGCACAGGGACAGTGTTCAGGTGTACCCTCTACCCAAAAGTTGCTGACTTTGGAGCAACTCCATCTTCTGCACCAGGTCAAAAGCCTGGAGGAACATGGCAGGTGGATCTCAAGGGATGAGGGTGGACACGGTTGCCTGGAGACTGGGAGAGGACAGAAATCTGAGTGCAGGGTGCATTCATAAACAGCAGAGCCTGGAGCAGGGCTTGCAGACAAACCCTGCTGGCACAGCTGTGTGAGGGGTTTTACCTGGCAGGATTCCTCACCTCATTGGAGCCTTCCAGCCCTTCAAAGTCCCTGCTAAATACCTTTATTTACATCGTTATCATAAATGGTTTGGGTTGGAAAGGACCTTAAATATCATCTTGTTCCAACTCCCCCTACCAGGGGCAGGGACACCTTCCACCAGCCCAGGTTGCTCCAAGCCCCGTCCAACCTGGCCTTGGACACTTCCAGGGATGGGGCAGCCACAGCTTCTCTGGGCAACCTGTGCCAGGGCCTCCCCACCCACACAGGGAAGAATCTCTTCCCAATATCCCATCTAACCCTGCTCTCTGTGAGTTTGAAGCCATTCCCCTTTGTCCTGTCTTTCCAGGCTCTTATAAATAATCTCTCTCCATCTTTCCTGTTGGCTCCTTCAGGTCCTGGAAGGCCACAATTAGGTCACCCCAAACCCTTCTCTTCTCCAGGCTGAACAATCCCAATTCTCTCAGACTTTCCTCATAGCAGAGCTGCTCCAGCCCTCTGATCGTCTTGGTGGCCTTTCCATCTGCTGCTGATGCCAAACTGGCTTGGTCAGAGTCCATGTGTGTCCCTGTGTGGTGTTTTGCTGTGTCACCCCACAGTCCCAGCTGTGTCATGCCAAGCCCGGTTCCCAGGATGAGTCAGTGCCAACTCCTCCTCCTGCACAAACCCAGCCCAGCCCAGGCAGCAAACAGCACCTTGGCACTTGCAGGGAGTTCAGGTGATCCCCAGCCAGCTGCTTGGGAACTCTGCATTCTGGACAACCTCCTTCTCCCATGACCTCTCCTGAGACAGTGCCTTGGACAACCTGAAAACACCCAAAGCCGTAAATATTAAACACTTTGTGAAAAATTTAATATGAATCACCAGTTTTCCAGGGGACTCTACTGGAATTAGAGAGGCAGAATGAAGCCAGTGGTAAGAAATCCTAGTATAGATCAGTTTTACATACAATGAAAATTCATCTCCCACCAGCTCCACGTGAAAAGCTACAAACTGATGGAGGGGGAGGACAACGTTAAACATTAATCCATCATTAATGGGGGATCAATGAGTCTGTAATACAACCTCCCCAGCAGCACCACTGCAAGATGCCAGGAATAAATCAGCTCTAACAGCAGTGTTCTCAGGCCCATCCATATTTCATATCCCGTCAGGGTGAGTTCAGTAGCTCCCTGCTCAGGCAGCTCTTCCCTCCCCTTGCCTGAACTCACTGAGCCCTCCATGGCCACCCAAAACTCAGGTGATCCTGGGCCTTTGAAGCTCCCTTGGGAACACTCCAGAGAAGCTGAAAGCCAGGAGTGATGCAAAAAGGGTTTTGTGCTTGCTGCGGGATTAGGATGTAAATTTGCTTTCTATTTTGGTCCGCATTCAGGTTCTCATTTTCAGGCTGTAATGTCTTTGTTATTCTCCTCTGTATCTTATGGTTACTTCAACATGTCTTTGAAGGACCATAAATTTAAGATCCCAGATGTTCAATCCTCAACTCCCTCAAGCTTTGTTTATTGAAGCTAACCAGAGCTAGTCCAGAAAACTCAAAGCTTTGGTGGTTTAAAGATCACAGAATCAACCAGGTTGGAAAAGACCTCTGAGATCATCCAGTCCAACCCATGACCCAACCCCACCTTGTCCCCCCCACCATGGCACTGATGCCACATCCAGGCTCTGCTCAAACACCTCCAGGGACGGGGACTGCACCCCCTCCCTGGGCAGCCCATTCCAAGGGCTGATCCCTCTCTCTGGGAAGAACTTCTTCCCAATGTCCAACCTAAACCTGCCCTGGTGCAGCTCAAGGCTGTGCCCTCTTGTCCTACTGCTGGTTCCTGGGAGCAGAGCCCGACCCCCCCCCGGCTGCCCCCTCCTGTCAGGGAGTTGCAGAGAGTGAGAAGGTCTCCCCTGAGCCTCCTCCTCTCCAGGCTGAGCCCCCCCAGCTCCCTCAGCTGCTCCTCACAGCACTTGTGCTCCAGTCCCTTCCCCAGCCTTGTTGCCCTTCTCTGAACCTGCTCCAGCCCCTCCATGTCCTCAAATCGACGAGAGTCTGTAAGAAAAAGAACGCAGCTGACTGCTGCCGTTGCTTGAAATTTTAGGAAAGTTCCATCATTCCCAACAAGACCAGTGAAACGCGGCGGCCCTTTCCAAAATCCTGGCCCGCTCTGGGATCCCGCATCCCGCGGGAAGGGCCCACTCGCCGCCGTTCCCCCCCGGGCCGGCAGACCCGCAGGGCGGGAGCCGCAGGGACGGGCAGGGGGGACCCGCCGGGGGTGCGGGCACGGGGGGACCCGCCGGGCCGGGCCGGGCCTGCGGCGGGGCCATGGGCGAGCAGTGGCCCTTGGGCCGAGCCCTGGCCGTGGTCGCGCTGTCCCGTTCCCGCCGCTGTTCCTGCGGCTGCTGGGGCCGCCGGTCCCGCCCGTGGGCGCCGTGGCCGGGGCGCGGGGCCCGGCGGCGGCTCTCGGGGCCGTTCCCCCGGGCTGCCCGAGGGAGCGGCGGCTGGTGCTGGTGGGCTCGCTGGTGGGCTCGGCGGGGGCCAGCCTGGGGCTCACCCTCATCCCGCCCGCCGGCGGGGCCGCGGGGGCCGCGGGCTGTACCCACAGCCGGCACGGGGTGCTCGCCGCGGTGCCCTTCGCGGAACCCGGCCCGCTGCCCTTCACGGTGCCCATCGTGGTACCAGCCACGGCGCCCAGCCCCGGGACAAGCACCTACGGAGCGCTAAGCACCAGCGCCGTGGCAAATGCGAGAGCTGTGTCAAAGGAAACGGTGAGAACAACTGCTGGTGGTGTGTTGGCAGCGAGCAGGATGCCAGCACCGAGCGGTTATTTGGCACGAGGGATGCGCTTGAGGAAAACAGCGGAGGGGTTGGTGAAGGTGGTACAAAGGCAAGTGGCTACTTGGATGGACCATCTGGCTGGAGAACTGCTGTGGAAGACATTAATAGGGAGACACAAGAAGCAGAAAAGCTGGCTTCCTACAGACGTCCCTTCCCTGGACTCAAGGAGGAAACGAACAGTGTGGGTTCTGCTGCAGCTGATCTTGTTGAAGAAAGCCTTTCTGCTGCTGCAAGTAATGGACCTTCTTTGATTAAAACAACTCTTCCCACTGTTGCAGTTAAGTACATGTTTGAAAACCTCTCAGGCACTCAAGATGTCAACTTTGAGGCAGCACAAAGCATCTTGCAGGACAGAGAGCATCAGCTTTTTCTCATGGTCCTGGGTGCTGTCGTGCTTTGGGAGCTGTTGGGCACTTCTCTGGAAAGGACAGTGGATGAAGGTGTCTATGAATACCTGGACTTTGTGGATGCCACTGACAGGTACAGCAGGCTGTGGATGTGGAGTTCCCTGGGCGCGGCTGCCGGTGCCTGTGGCATTGCTGTCCTGATGGATCAGCTGAATTGCTTCCTCAGCGGTTCCATCTCCCACCTCGCCGTCCACTTCTACGGCTACGCCGTCCTGGTGACGCTCTCACTGCTCGTCAGCGCCTTTTTTCCCGTCCACCTTCCCAGGAAAGCCGACCGTGGTTTTCCCAAAGCCCTGGCGCTGCTGTGGAGCGACGGCCGGGCGCTGCTGTGCGCTGGCACCGTGTTCCTCGCCGGCACCGCCAGCTCTGCCGGGCACAACTTCCTCTTCTGGCAGATGCAGGACCGAGGCAGCAGCGAGCTCCTCGTGGGGCTCTCCGTGTCCGTCGGGCTGCTGGCTGAGCTGCTGCTCTGGCCCTTCAAGGGGAGGCTGCTGAGGGCTCTGTCGACGTGGCCGCGGTCATCGGTGTGGGCCTGCTGGCGGCACAGCTGCTGTGCCACTCCCTGCTCCGCGCTCCCTGGGCCGTGCTCCCAGTCAGAATTACATCGAACGTGGTGCCTCCAGGACTGACTGACTGGTCCACTGCCAGGGGAGGACGACATGGTCTAGAGGAACAGGTAGGAGCTGGGCACACAAGTCACACCTCCTCAAGTCCAACTCTCCCTGCAGTTTTGAGTGCATCACTTCTCCCTTCCCACTGCCTCACTTTCTCCAAGGACAGCATTCCTTTTTAATACAGTGTAAAACCTTCTCTATTCTGATGCTAAATATGGTATTATTGCTAGACTTTGTCAGTCATCATTACTTCTACTAAGTTACTTTTCTGATTCATTCAAGATGACTGGAGGTATCCACTTTCTGCATAAGTGTACCTGCAATGCACAGCAAGAGTTCACAGGATCTCCTGAGGAATTGGATACAGTAGCATGGGATCAACTAAGTTGTACTTGAATCTGTGGGGTGGTAATGTGGTATGATGGTGATGCCCAGAAATTACTGATAATTCTAAAGTGCTGAATATATACAGTCTATATCTGACAGGAGAGATTTTTATTTTGAAAAAAATTATAAACCTTATTTTCTTAATATATAGTGTTTTGTAGTAATTTTTCCTTTTTAACATAGTGATTTTGCTTCAAAATCCCTAATAAAGTATTTCAGGTATACATTTGCTGGAATGAATGTAGCTAAGTTTCTAGTCCAAAAGCAAACTTAAATTGAATTGTTGCTCCCAGAGCTGTCAGTGAAAGCTGTGACCTGTTCTGTGACACAGTCAAATGGAAAATATTGTCATGCTGCCAGTACATGAAACTCTCTCAAGGTGCTCTGTCTGTGAACTCTTTGTACTTTATAAGGGATGTGAATAAAAAATGATTCATCTGCTCTGCTTTGATTTGTAAAATAAGGGTTTGCTGCAGACTATTTGCCTTCTCCTGTTTCATGGTTTAAGTATGTGGTTAAGTGTGCGTCTGCTTGGAATCTGTTGGAAAAAACCTCCATGTGCAGAGGTTCTTTGTGTGGATTTATGGAAGGTGTGGCACCCAGCATTCCAGGTGACCAGGAAGCAGCCAGCCCTTGTGACTTGTGTCACTTCTGTGGGCTGGGAATGAACTGAAGGCAATATCCATTCAGCCTTGGCACTGGTGGAAGCTGGTGATCCTTCCTGGGAGCAGCACCTTTATCCCTGCCACGTCCAGAGGGATCCTCAAGCTGCACCTGTGGGTCAGCACAGGCAGGGAGTCACTTTGGACAGCCACAAACCCACAGGAGAAACACACAGAGATGAATTTATTTCTGTTCCCTTGCTAAGTGGGGGATCCCTGAAGCAACACCTGGGCACAGGTGCAGGGCAGAGAACAGGCACTCAGTCCATGCCAGAGGATCACAGGCTTGCCAAGGGTTATTCCCAGCTGCAAAGTCACTTGTTTACAGTCCTCCTCCCAGTCTAACTCTTTTAACCCATTCTTCCCAACACTGCCTTACCTGCCTTGCCTTTCCTTCAAAGGCACACAGATTGCAGCACCTCTTAAGGAGGTAAGGTTTCCTTACAAATGAAAAATCAGCAGTCTGATCTCATTAAAAGATCTGTGTCAGACTTCAAATGAGCCTTAGAGTCCCTTCAAAAGCTGCTGTCAGTTTATGAAGTGCTTCCTTGGGCAGGGAGTTGCATCATTCCTTTGCAGAGGGATAGATTTTAATAACATCTGCCTAAGTGGTTTACAAGCCCTGAGACAAGGCAGCTGCAAAAGGCAGAATATTTATTTAAATGCGTATTTAATATGTCATATGCAAATGGCCTTGCAATCTGTCACCCTGCTGTGTTCTGGGCTCGGCAGGAAGGGGTTGGAGACAAGGAAAAGACACGCCTTGGAGATAATCTCTTTCTCTGTATGCATCGATTCCACATTATCTGTACATCAGATGCTTTCAGGGTAATTATCTCTCTCTTTTCCTGGCACAAATCCTCAGTGCCATGCAGAATGCTCTGCTGGAATGGCTCTATAGATAGAATTGTCCTCGTGCCAAGAACAGCTGGAACTTTTTATTAAGATATTATCTTCTCCCAGGAATTCAAACACAAGTTGAGAGCAATTTTAGTGTCAAGAATTTATCCTGGCCTTATTATCATATAATACCTCAGGAACAAAAGTTGTTAATAGAGCATCTGACTGCAGTCAGATACATCCCTGCAAGCAGCACAGCCCAGAGCCATCGATGCTTCTGTGAGAGGAACAGAAATAGCTGGAATGGTTTAAAATGCAGTTGCTTCTTTAACTGGAAGTGCCTGCCCTCGTTTGAAGCCAATTACCTGGGCGATCTGTGCTCCTTTTGTCTGCTTCAGCACAACATCCGCTGCTGTAATTGCAGCTTTGCAAAGAGAAGCCTTGGAATGGCAGATGCTGGTGCAATCCACCTGTGGAGAGGGGTGGTGGCTGCCTGGCAGTAAAATCTCCCCTGGGATTTTACCTCATTTTTGGGTAGGTGTGCTCAACCACTGCTGCTGTGAACAGGCAGGATTTAAGGTATGGTCCAAGGCTGAACTTCAGTGTAATAATACTGGATAATAAGATTATTTTTTTAAATTATCGATCCAGTAAACACATTTGATGCTGATTCAGGGGAGAATCATATTTATGCAGTTTGAAATGCATCCTGAATTACAAACCACTGTGGAATGAATGTGGCAGAGGCTCATTCACTGAAGAAATTGCTTTAACCACCAGTTTGATTAAATCATTTTCCACTGAGGTTTATATAAACCAGTTCTGTGTGTGAGCTCTGCAGCACTGAGGACTCAATTTCTTCCTCTCTGATGGTCACAGACCCTCCAAGCCAAAAGGGTAAGGAAGGAGGTGGACTTAAATTATTCTGTGTGAGCTCTGAGCGTGGCTTTATTGTTCTTGCAGAAGTAAGAATGTGCCAAGGCATTAAATGCTGTTGGGAGTAAAATTTTAATGGAGGAGAACCGAACTGCTTTTAGGGAAAATAGGTTCTCTTGATGTGTTTCCAACCACATCAGGGATTATTTTTGCATTACTTTGCAACTATTTGCAAAAAAAATTAATGTAAAAACTTCTATTTCAAGCTTTTATTCTTAAGCAGCAGATGTAAAGATAAAAGGGATTATAAGATCATGTAAGACTTTACTCTTTGCCTACTTTGAGCAAATTTTAAAGGCTTATCTGTAGAAATACTAATTTTTCCCCCCTCGGTGTCTGTCCAGGGTCTAAGTGGAGCTGTGTCCTTCTCTGAACACAATTAGATGTAACTGAGCTCAGGAAGCAAAGAGGAGTTAGTGTTGAGGAACGAGTTCCATGCAATGATGGTCTTTGTAGCTCTTAGATTTTAAATTTGACATAGCTCGGTGTATGTGTCCTTTGTGAGAGGTTTCAGAGGAGCTGAGTAAATCAGTTTTATTAGATGAGACACCACCTCCCAAAAAATAACCAAGACCTCTTGAAACAACTTGCACCTACTGTGCAGGTGGTTTCAGGATACAACGGACCCAGGAGCTGAGGAACTCCTTGAATCTTTATCCTGCTTTGTAACAACTCGTTCCCAAATTATAAGGGAACTAAAATTACAGACTCTGTCTTTATTTTATGATGGAATATTACAAATGTTTCCTTCAGCTCCTCTCTGTGTGCATCTCACATCTGTGATTGACTGCAATAGTGTGGTACTCCCAGAATGGGAAATTAGGGAAAACTCTATAAATGTTAATTTTTCTAGTGGATCTGATCAGCATGGTAAGATCCTTTCCAGGGCTCTCCAAAGATTTCTGGGATTCAGCCAGCAACCACAGCGTGGTTCTTTGTGGACTGTAGTGAAACCTGCCCAGATGTGTTCACAGGGAGGTTTTTGTGTCTTTGTAATGAATTGTTTCTCAAAATTGTAGGTGTGGTCCATGTAAGGTAAATCTATTTAGCTGTAGTTTCAAAAGAAGAAGAGTGATGTTTTTGAGAGTTGGGGTCCCAGCACAGGAGGGACATGGAGCTGCTGAAACGAGTCCAGAGGAGGCACCAAGAGGATCAGAGGGCTGGAGCAGCTCTGCTGGGAGGAAAGGGGAGAGAATTGAGATTGTTCAGCCTGGAGAAGAGAAGCTTTGGGGTGACCTAATTGTGGCCTTCCAATACCTGAAGGAGCTACAAGAAAGATGGAGAGAGACTATTTACAGGGGCCTGGAGTGACTGGGCAAGGGGGAATGGCTTCAAACTCACAGAGAGCAGGGTTAGATGGGATATTGGGAAGAGATTCTTCCCTGTGAGGGTGGGGAGGCCCTGGCACAGGTTGCCCAGAGAAGCTGTGGCTGCCCCATCCCTGGGAGTGTCCAAGGCCAGGTTGGACGGGGCTTGGAGCAACCTGGGCTGGTGGAAGGTGTCCCTGCCCATGGCAGGAGGTGGGACAGGGTGAGCTTTAAGGTCCCTTCCAACCCAAACCATTCTCTGATTCTATGATTCTATTTATCAGGAGGGAGCCAATGTAAGAGAGTCTCTGCTAATTTACACTGTACATTTCTCAGGGAACAGATAAATTTTGCTCTGTGTGGTTTCTGTCTGGTTTTGCTGCCATGTAAATGACTTTTCTGGCCAAGGGCATTTTTTACCTTCAGTTGAGACCATAAAATTGTGACCCCAAATGTAGAGGTGGGTATGAGGCACCTTTATAATTAACCTTTGCTTCACCTTTGGTATATTGAGAAGTCTTGCCTGAAGAAATCAAGGAACAATTTTTGTGACCCTCCCCAGTACAGCAGACAGGGAAGTTGCTGGTAACATGACTTTAGTTCTGAAAATTTGAGAGCATTTCTGCCTCCAGTCAGGTTGGAAGGTCAGACCTATGGGGGTAGTTACAACACTGAAAGCAGAAGGTTTGTGTCAACACAGGGTTTTGTTGTTAGTAAAAGGGTTTTTTAGCCAGGGAACATAATCATGTGCTGAAATAACTTTAATTCAAAGCATGAATTAAGAAACACAAACCTGATTTTTTGCCAAATGCCAAGGAAAATGAAGTTAGTAAATACTCTGGACTAGTTATTCTGACTTGTACATCCCTCCATAAGAAGAGACATTCAGGTCCTTGGGACCACAGTGCTTTCTCAGGGAATCTGTCACCAAGATGCACCTGAGTTGGCAGCGAAGGACCCATGAGTGTCACCTTGGAACTGTTTTTGAAGACTCAGAATTTGTTCTGAGTGGTATCTGCTGCTTGCTGTTGAGAACTTCAAATGCCT